AACTAAGAGGAACTGTTTAAGAAGCAACTACAGGGTCTTGGGGATGTAGCTGAGTGGGACGGTACTTGCCTAGCATGCACAAGGCCCCAGGTTCCATCTCTGGTGAAGAAAAAAAGGATAGCTACACTCCCTATATCCTTCCACCCCAACAGCCCCATGAGACTATCACCCATACATCATCCCAATAACAGACTGGTGGGTTGTTATTTGGACAGAATGAAAACCAAGAGCTGTTTTAAACAGGCATAGTTGAGAACAAGAACATCTTACTGGTAAACTGAGGATTAAACCTACAGACAGCAAAATACGAAGACCTCACTCTCTTCCTGAGACCTCTATCAGTGAGATCTTGATCCTATTGTGCAGGCAGAAGATCGAAGGAATCTTCTCTGGGAACGCTGACCAGCCTCAGAGATAAAATTACCAAGGTCCTAGAAAGCTAAGCCAAGTAAACCAGGCCCCTTGTTCCTGAAGAAGATAGGAGTCATGGGAAGGCTCCCAAGTTGGGGAGAGCTGACTATCCACCTGCATGCATCTTAACAGAAGGTAAAATGAAAAGAAGGCTGATGCCAGGAAGAAAAATCAGCTAGGAGTCTTCTGCATGGAAGAGCATCGGGGAGCTACAGACAACCAAGAACACAAAAGCTGAATGAGACATAAAGCAAGGAACTTGCTCTTCTGATGAGTCAGAACTGGCTAGTTCTGGCCAGAGTTTTAAGAACCAAAATCAACTGTGAGAGAAGGATAATTCAATACATAGGTGGGAATGATTAGAGACAAAAGGGTTTTTATGGCTTTTAAAATCCTTTTTTATAATTTGTTTTAATTTGAGAAGCACTTATGGGCTGCTATTTGCCTGTTGTTGTGGTAGACACAGGAGAAAATTCCAAGTAATTTACAGTATCATCCCCAAACAGGAGACCTGCCATTAGGAAGTGATGTACAGCAGATCACAGTCAAGAACCCAAAGGACAGCGGCTAAGTTCAGTGAGATTGGGCATCAGCTAAAGGAGTCTGGGAAGCTCTGCAGGGTTGAGGTTTGACAGGGAGAATCACAATTGTACTTGTTTGAAGCAAGAATTTCAAGCTTTAATGAACTTTAGAATCATGTGAGTATCTCCTAGGCTCCACCCAGAAGTTCTGATGCTATATTTTATACACTGCAGGTGATTCCATTATAGAGGAGTCCTTGTGCCATACCTTGAGAATTGCTAATGACATATCAAGGTCTCTTTGCTATGAAATTCTTGCTTCTGTTTGCCCCACAGATGGTAGATTTCATGGATGGGGAAAGCAGGAGGATGAGGGAGGGACAAGGGTAAAAGGCCTGCTGTAGGAATACAGGAGGGAAAGGGACAAGTCTGCCCAGAGCAGTTGAGCAGCCCTAAGAAGTGAGGGAGGAAAGGAGGAGTCAGAGCACACAGGGCCTTGAAACTAGGAATCAAGGTCCAAGAACTGAATTTCAAGCAAGAATTTCAAGCTTTAATGAACTTTAGAATCATCCTGGGTATCTCCTGGGCTCCATACCAGAAGTTCTGATGCTATGCATTTTATACACTGCAGGTGATTCCATTATAGAGGAGACCTTGTGCCATACCTTGAAAATCGCTAACGACATATCAAAAACAGGGAAGCAATGGGATGAACAATGTCATCAAGGGGCAACCAGGAGATCAGCCACGGCAAGGATGATACAAAGTGCAGTTTATAAGTGAATCTGAAATAGACTCCTGCTTAGGGAAACTCGGCATCCTCACCCAGGCTCTGCCTGTGGTGGGGGCCGGCACTAGATGGGGTCCCAAGGTGGGCCCTGCCTACAGCAATGGTTTACGCACAGCTCTTCAGCTGCCTCTGTGCAGCCACTAGATGGCAGTGCTCACCCTTCTTTTAGAAGGACCAGCTCGACAACTATCAAGCAGGAAAATTGGGCCCTCTCCCCTGAGAGTGTAATATACACACAAAAACCTCCCTGTAATCCCAACTCTAATTTCCCACAGAGAAGGAAGCAAAGGTTTCCTGCCGCGGTCGCGGGGAAATAAGGGTGGCTGGCCTTTTCCAGTATGAAGTTCAGAGGGCAGTTACAGAAGATGGGATGCTCCGTTTCTGAGTTCCCATGGGTCTGATCCAGGGAAATGCACTGAAGTCTCCCTGCCCTGGAAGCACCCTATTGGTGAGCAGCACAGGGCAGTCAGGCTATGCCTACAGCGTGCTCCAGAACATCCTCGACACAGGAACAGGTACCATGGAGAGCTGAGACCAGGACTCACCAAGCGAGGGGCAGGCTTCCTCGTCGGAGCCATCTGCACAATCCCGGTACCCGTCACATACCCAGGTGTCCATCACGCAGGCCCCATTGCTGCATCGGAAGTAATTGGGCAGACACGTGGAGGGCCCAGGAGTGGGGGAGGGCAGAATATGTGAATCTGAGAAAAACACCAAAAAGAAAACCCAAAGTGTTACCAGAAGTTGGACCTCAGACTAAAATGTGTTCCAAACCAAATCCCCCTTTTAGCTGCACCAGCCAAGAGAGGCTAGTGACAGTCACAGCTCTGTACTGCAGCCCATCTAAAAATCATTCATGATGCAGTGTCAGAACAGACGATATTTGTTTCCCCTCTGGTTAGTAGATTTACATACTGCTGTAGTGGATAGGAGCTAATGTTCAGATGGCCTTGCTTTTGTAGGTGTTTCTGAAAGCAAACAAAAGGTGAACAGTTGACTTGGAAGATACAGGACGGATAGAGAATTCCTACCAAGGCCAAACTGCTCTAGTTAATTCATCACAACTACCCCAAGACTTGGTTTGGAGACAATGCCAAAAATGAAAGGGAAAGCATGCACCCCACATCAGTGTTCCTCAGAGGAATCACAGCCCAGGCAGGACCTGGGGACCTTGTTAAAATTCAGATTCCCATTCAGTAGGTGTGGGGGAAGGGCAGAGACTGAGGTTCTAACAAGCTCCAAGGAGATGTGAATGCTGCTGGTCAGCAGCAAGGCTCTGGGCATCTCATTGTGCCCTGCAAAATCAGGAGTGAATAACCCTGGCAATAAAAACCAAGCACCCTGATTGTAAATGGGAGGAAAGATTGAAAACTCCTCAGGGTTGATTCTCCCAAAAAAGCCAGAAAAGTACAGAATTAGCCAGGCACTAAAGAGACAAAGTTATAATCTGTGCAAACAGGTCAACCTATCCTGCTGTGTCTCGGCTGTGGGGTTGACCCAGCACCCTAGAGCCTCTCACCTCCACAGTCCTTCTCTTCAGACCAGTCTCCACAGTCGTTCTCCCTGTCACATTTCCATCTGTTTGGGATGCAGTGGCCATTCTCACAGCGGAACTGGAAGTAGCGGGAGCAGTTTGGGGCTTCTGTGGGGTTTTCTGCAGAGATCAACAAGGGTATCAGTCATTTCTCCTGTACCACAGTGAGCACAAGCTCCACCTAGAGGCACTGTCCTGGATACCCATGTCCAGTGCCAGTGGCATTTCCCTCTCAAAAAAGATCAGGCAACTTTATGAACCCAAGGGGCAACAGAATATACCCATAAACTCACAGTACTCCATCTTCCCAGCTCCAAACTCATGACCTACATTTTTTCTTTTTTTAGGGTGCTGGAGACTGAACCCAGGAACACTCTGCCACATCTGCAGCCCTTTTTATTTTTTTGAGAGAGGGTCTATGTTGCTTAGGACCTAAGTTGCTGAGGATAGTTTTGAACTTGCGTTCCTCTTGCCTCAGCTTCCTGAGCTGCTGGGATTACAGGTGTGCACCACTGCACCCAGCGATGACTACAGATTGTTATACTGAGAATGATCACCTGACATGTAATTCTGACCTTTTACCAAAGCAATAGTCTAACTATTGATGACAGCCCAATTGAGATGCTGTGGTCTATACTTTTTAGGGTAGTGGTGTCGATGACGCATTCTACAATATTTACCACAATCCTTTACCCACTGCATTCTTTATATATATAATGTGGTCCTTGCAACTGAGCAAAGAAAAGGAAACATAATAAAAATTTCCTGCATCTACTAGGTGTAAGTTCCCACTTCACTCAGTTCTTCGTGTGGGGATTCAAGAGCTGGAGGTAGTTGCTACTGAGGAAGGAGAGGGCAAAGTGTGCAGGTGAGAATGCTGGCAAGCATCCCCTCCTTAGCCACAGGTGTCACCATAACTGCAGGGCTGGGGTGCGAGGAGGCTGATGCTCACCACAGTTGGCTTCATCAGAGTAGTCCCCACAGTCGTCCATCCCATCACATTTCCAAATCAAACTGATGCACACTCCATTCTGACACTGGAAACCGAACTCATCACAGACCTTGTGGAACTCGGGGTCTTGGGCTACATAAGGAAGAAATACCCATAAAGTCCTGATTACTTCCGTGTTGGAGAGGTCAGAGTAGGAGTGATGCTCAGAACAGGAGAGAGGAAAAACATCCTCTGCCAAGAGCCATTATTGTGCTGAATGTTTCCGTGAAAGCAAAAGCCAAACCTGATCTTAACAGAGCACACATTCTATTTATTAATCCTTTCCACAGTCCTTTATTGAGTACTATTATGGGCTGAGTTTATCCCCCCAAAATTCATAGATTGAAATCCTAACCCCTAATACTTTAGACAGGTGATTTTTTTGGAGGTAATGTCTTTAAAAAGGTAAGTTAAAATGAGGTCATCAGGGTGAGTCTTAATCCAATACAACTGCTGTCCATGGAAGAGGAAGAAGAAATCTGAACACAGAAATGTAGAGAAGAAAGACCATGCAAGGACACAGGGAGAAGATGGCCACCTGTGAGGTCAAGAAAGGCCTCTGGGAAAACCAATCCTGCCAACACCTTGACTGTGAACTCCCAGCCTCCTTTTTTTCAAGAGAAAATGCATTTCTGTTGTCCAAGTTACCCTGCGTGTGGCATTTTGCCATGGCAACCCAAGCAAACAAACACAAATGCAGGGCACTCTGAGAAACAGGGCTATGGCAATGAACAAAGGAAAGTCCCTGCTCCTCTGACCCTTGCATGGCAGCAGCAGAGGCAGACGGTAAAATACAGTGTGCAATGTGGGGGTGCATGCTGTGAGGACCTCTGGAGAGCACAGCAGGCAGGGGGCACTACAGAGATTGGCATTCAATACAGACTGGCCAGAAAGGCCTCTGGTATAAGGTGAAACGGAGCCAAGACTGTGGTCACTCACCAGCCTCCTGTTCATACCTACACCAAAGCTAAAAGCAGCACTTCTGAAACAAAGAGGTAACTCTCAGGAAAGGTGAGCTTGGACACTTAGTCAGACCTGATACCTAGAGAGAGGTGTGTCCCCGGGCAGCCAAACCCCATGTCTGTGAGTGACCTCCCCCAGCTGCCCCACTCACAGCATCCTGCAAAGGTGGCATCCTCATCTGATCCATCGCGGCACTGGATTATCCCATCACACACCATGGAGTGGAACAGGCACTGCTGGCGGTTCTTACACACAAAGTCCATGAAGCGAGTGCAGAGGGGCTCTAAAAGGGAGCCAGCAAGGAGAAAGGGCCATGAGCACTGGGCGTGGGCATCTCACGCTGGTTCAGACATGCATTCAGGAAACAACAGTAACAGCCACTGTTGGCCGAGCACTTGCTTGTGCCAAGCCCACAGCTAAAGCACTTGACATAAAGTGTACCATTAAACCCTCAAAACAACATTAAAAAAGATTTTACTGTCTCTGTTTACAGAACGAGAAAACAAGGGTAGCAGTATTAAGTATTTTGCCAAGAGCACACAGCTGATGAGGGTGAAGCCAAAACTGAAATCCAGAGCTGTCTGGCACCAAAGCCCATGATCTGAATCATTACTGATACGATATTGACTCTAACAAGGAGTCAAGAAGCTTTCTCCAAAATAGACCAGAGTTCTGGAATGAATTGTGCTCCTCCCTCCAGCTTAAATTCCTATGTTGAAGCCTGAGCCCTAGTGTGACTATATTTGGAGAGGGGTTCTTTAAAAAGGTCCTTAAGGTTAAATGAAGTCATAGGCTGGGGCCCTAATCCGACATGACTGGTGTCCTCATCTAGAGATACAGGCAGAGAAAAGGCCACATGAGAGCATAGCAAGAAGGCCTTTGGATTTGAATTACAGCTGCTCTCTTCTGGGTCTGGAGCTTGACCGCCTTCAAATTTAAACTGTGACCTCAGTTTATCCCTGGGTCTGCAGCCTGCTGGCTCACTCTACAGATTTTGAACTTGCCAGCCTCCATTACCACGTAAGTCAATTCCTTATAAGTCTCTCTCCACACATACATAGGGCTGCTGTGTATGATGAGTGTGTGTGTGTGTGTGTGTGTGTGTGTGTGTGTGTATCCTATTGATTTTGTTTCTCTGGAAAACCCCAAACTAACACAACCAGAGAGCAAAATGTTAGGCTCTGCAGACACTTTACAAACAGCCTCTGTTACAACTACTTGATTTTGCCACTACAGCATGAGGGCAGTATGCATATGTAAGCAAAGGGAAGTGTTGGATTGAAATATAACTTCATTTAAAAGAACAGGTTTTGGGCCAAATCTCACCTACAGGCCAGTTTGTATTAACCCATTAGCTCTCAACCTGAATTGCACATTAGAATCTCCTGGAATACTGTAAGGAAAAAAAAAAAATCCCAACACCCAAGTCATACCCTAGACTAATTTGAAATATCTGGGGGTGAGGCCCAGGTACCAGTAGCTTTTAGAGCTCCCTGGTGATTACAATGTCCACCAAAGAGGTGTACAACTGACCCAAGACCATCTTTCTGGGTCTAAAGAAAATGGGCTAGAAAGGGTTACTTGGCATAAAAATATTTCTGGAGTGATAATCATCAACACTAATAAAAAAAAACCAATCAAGTAAAAGTAAGTGCCCAATCGAAAACAACGGTCAATTTATAATGCACATAGCAACAAAACAGTACCTTTCACCAAAGAATAAACTAATCCCATAACCATACACTTCAATCCTTTCTATTCTCCTCTACCCAAACATGTCTCCCTTTCTGATCAGCCACTGAGTCCAGGACTCAGTGTGAATTGGTTCAAAGCTACACACAGCAGGTACTGAAGAAACAAAAGGATCTGGTCCAACAGGCACTCCTCACTCACAACCACCAGGGCCTGGCGTTCCTCCGGGCAGGAAGCAGACTCACCACAGTGCTGCTCGTCCGAGCCATCGGAGCAGTCGTGCAGTCCGTCACAATGTTTGCTGGATGGGATGCAAGTGCCATTGGGGCAGCGGAATCCATTGCACTTCTTCTCTGAAATCCAATTCAGAGTAGAATGGTAAAGAAGAAATGAGCAGGCACTCACCGACATTGTTCACAGGACTCCGATTCGTACCACCCTGGGGGCAGCTGGGCAATAGCTGTAGAATTACCAACATATATATATTCTGACCAGTAACTCCCAGTGTAGAAACAATGTGTTCTGTTTACACAAATGAAAAATAGTGTAAGGAAAAGGTCAGAACCTGTACTTAATGTAAGCAGAAGTGTAACAGATGGAAAACCACCTCCATGTCCATCAGCAGAGGACTGTTTAATAAATGGCTGTGCATGGGAACACTAGACAGCTGAGGGAGACTGAAGAACTCTGTAAAAAATTCTGTCCCAGAGTTATGTAAAAATCAAACCTCAAAACAACATGCATAGTGTGTTATTATTTGTGTAAAATAGACTATATTTAAATATCTACAATCGCGCGTCATCTAATGATGGGTGCATTCTAAGAAATGTGTCACTCATCAATTTCTTCACCATGTGAAAGTCACAGACTATGTTGCACAACTTGGATGGTACAGAATAGGTCACTCAGTCAATGTGATCTCTTGAAGCAATCAAAAGGTGAGGTAAACAAAGATGTAGAGGCTGTTACCAGTGTAATATGGGAGACTGCTGAACAGTTAACTTTTCTTTAAGTAGAAGGGGTTTATTCTCCAATAATGACAAAAAAGTATAGCATGATAAACACATAAACCAATCACTAGTTATTTGCTATCACTATCAAGCACTGGTACCTTACGTACTTGTGTGTGTTACCCTGGCACTTGACTGGCAGCACAATGGGTCAGTTTACACCAGCATCACCACCAGCAGTATTGTCCTGCACTATGACGTCGGGAACATGACAGTGTTACTAATGACAGAACATTCTCAACTCCATTTAATCTTTTGAGACCACCATTGTAAATGTGCTCCATCCTTGACAAAAATAATGTCACACAGTGATGACTGCATATCCACATCTCTGAAAAGGTATCAAACCATGGCTTCTCGTGGGGTGGGGATAGGATAGGAACTAGGCAGATGGGGAGAACAACTTTTACTATAAGCTATCTTATGCTTTTTCCATTTTGAACAAGATGAAAGGCCGACCCATTCAAAAACTGAGTATGTTTTTTGCCAAGAAAAAAGCTTCTACGAATAGGAAAAAAGAGAGACAAACATGAATCCTGATTACAAAATCCTGGATTTTCAAAAAGAATCTAGAGATCACTGGTCACCTTCTTTCTTTCATGAATTCTAATTTGAATTCTAATATGAAGCCCTTCTGGAGAACGTTTGCTTGAAATGTTAAGAGTCCAAAGTTTCACAATGAGTTCTAAGGGAAATAAACTAGAACAAAGGTACCATGATACTTAGCCCAGAAGCCTTAGTGCCAGGTCCCTCTCTCCTAAGCAGAGTCCCTGCCAGGCACTGGACTTATCAGTTCTACCAAGACAGGCATGGCCTTTGCAAACCCAATGCTTGGTGAATAGTTCCATGAGGATTAGGTAGGTATAAGACAACACAAGGTGTTTTAATCCTGCAAAAAGTCAATTTACCTAGGAAATTTGTCAAAGGACATCATACAGAAACAAACAGTAAATGAGTAGTACAACTTGGAGAAATGGTTAATGTCACTAAGAAAAACAAAGTTTCTTTTAAAAAGTATAAATTAAAATTATAAGAAACAAGTATACTCAGTATTAGTGAGAACCACTAAAGAGATAAAACCTAAAATCAAGGGAGACTAGGGAAAGCAAGCAGTCTGTGGCTGGTGGAGATGTCTCTCGGAAATAACCTGGAAACACTGGAAGAGACTCATGAGAAACCATCAGCACTTCTGACCCACAATTCCAGGAAATATCTCCAAGGAAAAATGAGCCTTCGCTTCCAAGAATATAAACAGCTGTCATAATTGTGTAAAACTAAAAACATAATTGTGTAAAACTCAAATGCCCAACCAGGAACGGACTAAGTAACCCATAACTGGGTTAATGGTAACATGAAATGAATATGCATCTTGCATAAAAATGCTAATTACAGAAAATACTGATATATGGAAACATCTTTTTTAAGAAAAAAATCCTGTAACATGGAAGGAGTAGAATATATAAAATGACATGCAGACAACAACTATACTATGAAAATTTTGAATGTTTGGCAAAAGGATAAGGACAGAGAAGCTTAAAAATATTTGGTGTATAAAAGCACTTCACATACTGATTCTGTGTTATGGCGGCATTTTACACTTTTTTTTTGTGAGAGGGAAACTGCTGCCTGAGAATTAAGACTACATCATATGGCAGCATGACAGAGTGGGTGGGCTTGCTCAGTGTCACGGTGGAAGCCCGGGTGCTGCAGGGTGTGATTTCATTTCCTGGCCCATCTGCTGCCTCTTCCTGAACAGCAGACACTGGGGAAGCTCAGGTGGGAGCCAAGGCATTTGCATTTACCACAGTTCACCGGATCCTCGTCAGAACCATCTTGGCAATCTGCGTCACCGTCACACGCCCACCGCTGGGGGATGCAGTGCCCGTTGTGGCACTGGAAGTTGGAGGCCTCACAGGTGTGATAGATGGCTGCCAACAGAGAAAAGGGACATAGTCACACCTCCCTCCTCTCCACCCCCATCAACTGTCACAAGTCAGCTGAAAGGAAGCTTTGCACTAGGCAGTAAGGTTGAAAGGGCTGGAGCATGAGTTACTCCGAGGGTGGGAAATGCAGCAGTTGGGCAGACCCCAAGAGGGAGGCAGTGATTTGAGTCTGTGCTGAGAAAATGTTACACCAGCCACTACAGGCCCAGGTGCCCCTGTCAAAAAAATCCCTCCTCTGTACAATGACCTGTGAGGTAAGCATTATTCCTCTTTCACACAGGAAAAACAGGCTTGGAGAAACTGAGAAACCTTTTGGTAATAAAGTAATTGCATCAGGCTGTCCAGGGTAAAGCCTCTACTTTTCTTCCTAGATCTTGCTACTTGATCCTCTCCATAAATCTGACTCCTTTAGATGCTGTCAAACAAGGAAAGGCAGTGTGTGCTCTAGAGAGAAAGTTCTAGACCTGGTCCAGTCAGTCTGGAGGCCTCAATTTCCTATTTGACATTGTTATCTAAGGGGCTCTTACAAGCAGCTCTGACAAGCCATGACTTTATATATCAAAACCAAAATCAAAACACAAAACACTACCCAACTTTAAATGTGGAAAACTTCAGGCCCAAAGAACATTAAAAAAAAAAAAA